GAAGTAACTGACATAAAGAAGGTTTCTAGTCAAAATGGAAAGCGTACTTCTTATTTTTAATATTATTAATTCATGAGAACCGTCAAACGAATGGCAAATTGTAGGTTAAACATTTCTGATTAAAAATAAATCTCCAACCCAGGTATTTTTCTATTTTGTATATGTGTTCAATTCATCTCGATTCACAGTTTAGTAAATACGCGGCTTTTTTAAGTGTATGGTAAACAATAAACCCATACGTGGCAGCATGGACCCAGCACTGGTTACACCACTAGCCTTATCTCTGGGTGGTATTCAGTGTCACACACAGAATTATTCACACCCCAGGTAATGAGGTGTGGCTTTCGATGTTCCCCTGGACACACCTGGGTGCATTAAATGATTTGTGTAGTCATTGTAATTAAAGTACTTTTTAAAAACCAGTTCTGAACATTTTGTTTAGATGAAATATGAATCGCCGCTCCCTTTTAATCCTTTTTACTTCATTAAACCCTGGCCGTGAGCCAGTCCTGTCCAATTCTGTTTCTTTCAGACCAGCGCTTTGCAGACATTACCGAGCATTCACCTCTTACAACCAGATAACCCATTGTCTGCAATAAGCTGACCGAAACTCGGGAAACTTTGATATGGAGCTCTGTGAGGGGAAGTCGTTGGTTAAAGATATGGAGCTCTGTGAAGATTAAAGAAAGCACAGTATACTTTAATTTGATAAAATGCAGCGTTTAATGTCTATATAGGTTAAAGCTGTGTATTGCGAGCTGCGTCACAGATAATGAGACAGAGCAGGCCGCAAGCTTACAGTCTGTAGAAGGACAGGATCAAGATAAAGCAAAGTGCAGGACATCAGCGCAAACCAGACAGTAACACGAGTCTTATCAAAGAGCTCCACAGTAATACAACTCACAATAATGTATGTGTATCACAGAGCTCCACAGCAATAGAACTCCCAGTAATGTGTCTGAGTGTATAACAGAGCTCCACAGTAATAATACTCCCAGTAATGTGTCTGAGTGTATAACAGAATCCCACAGCAATAATACTCCCAGTAATGTGTCTGAGTGTATAACAGAGCTCCACAGCAATAATACTCCCAGTAATGTGTCTGAGTGTATGTGTCTGACAGAGCTCCACAGAATAATACTCCCAGTAATGTGTCTGAGTGTATGACAGAGCTCCACAGCAATAATACTCCCAGTAATGTGTCTGAGTGTATAACAGAGCTCCACAGCAATAATACTCCCAGTAATGTGTCTGAGTGTATAACAGAGCTCCACAGCAATAATACTCCCAGTAATGTGTCTGTATAACAGAGCTCCACAGCAATAATACTCCCAGTAATGTGTCTGAGTGTATAACAGAGCCCCACAGCAATAATACTCCCAGTAATGTGTCTGAGTGTAACAGAGCTAACAGAGCTAACAGAGCCCCACAGCAATAATACTCCCAGTAATGTGTCTGAGTGTATAACAGAGCTCCACAGCAATAATACTCCCAGTAATGT